CATCGCCAGGGAGGGGGTCCACCGCCCGGCCTCTCTCCCCGCTCCTGCGCGCCGGCCAGCTCGCTTCTCGGTGCCCCCTGGTGAGCTCCAGCGCTGACTCCAGATCCGCCCTACTTTGGCGTTTTTTTTCCAACTTAAGATTGCGTCGGAAATCCACCTATAAGGAGCCGAAAAAGTAGGGCAGAAATTTCTGTACCCAACATAAAATGGGCCGAAAATCCACAGAAGTAGGGCGGAAACAACAACAGAAAAGTAGGGCGGAAATTGGCATCAGCGGGGCTTGAAAAGTAAGGCGGAAATTCCAAGCCCTACTTACGAATTTCCCCAAAGTAGGGCGGATCCGGAGTCAGGTGCAGCCAACTTTGCCTCGCCGCAGGCGCAAAAAGCGTGTGCAGTTGTTTTGTTCGTTTGGGGTCGGGGCTATCGACATGGGCACGGACAGCACGGGGGCGAAGGCCGACAGCCGTTCCCACGCATGCTTTAGCGTTAAGTCGGGCGTGTCCCTCTGCAGGAGGAATAGTCAAACTAGTCTGGGGACGATTTTTCGACCATGTTCGAGAATTGTATGGCGTATTTCCCTACCTAGGCTCTGCCTAGAAGGGTTTTTACTTTAGAGCTTAAAGGGCCGGGCAGTGTAAATCGCCCCGGGCGGTTCCCCCAGGATCCGCCCTGCGGTTCCCCCAGTTACGTCCCCTTAGCTTAGCGTTGCCTATATCATCTTAACTTAGCCTAGCTTAACTTAGCTTAGCTTAGCTTAGCCTAACTTAGCCTAGCCTAGCTTAGCTTAGCCTAGCCTAGCCTAGCATAGCTTAGCTCAGCTTAGCGCAGCACAGCGCAGCGCAGCATTAGCACAGCATAGCATACCATAGCATAGCATAGCATAGCGCAGCATAGCATAGCCCAGCATATCATATCATAACATAGCCTAGCATGGCGCAGCATAGCAGAACATAGCATGTCATAGCATAGCTTAGCATAGCACAGCGCAGCATAACATATCATATCATAGCGTAGCATAGCATAGCATATCATAGCGCAGCATAGCATAGCATAGCATAGCACATCATAACATAGCATAGCGCAGCATAGCATATCATATCATGTCATAGCATATCATAGCATAGCATAGCATAGCATAGCATAGCATAGCATAGCTATGCGGTGTAGATGTAGATGTTGCTTTCCTATATGCTCCAACTCCTAGGTAGGGTCGCACTGGAATAATTTCAATTTTTCGTCCAAGATCAGCCTGTAGGGGGACATGCCCGACCTGACGCATGCTGAGCAGGACGCTCCGTCGGCGACGCCGCGGGCGTGGTCCAGCCGATGCAGAGGGTCGCCTGCCCGGCAGCTGCCGCCTGTCGGTTTTTGGACAGCGTCTGCTGCTGGGCTTCGTGCCCTTTGTTGTGTTGGCTCGCTCGGGCGTCCGAACCTGCGCCTCTCGCTGCCTCTCCGAGAGAGCGACGGGGAACCGAACGGCCGATCGGAGGAAGAGAGAGAGCAGGGCTGGACCTCAACGCTGCTTTGCTGGACCTCGGCGGGGTTCTGTTTTCCAGATTGGCGGGGAGGTATAGAAAAACAGGTAGAGAGCAAAACGAAACACAAACAAACGAAAACACAAAGCGAAGAACAACCTTCAGGTCCAGCCCTGAGAGAAAGCACCGATCCCGCGGACGCCTGGTGTGTACCGCGCCGCGCTGGGCGTCTCCCGCGGCGCCGCCGATGTTCGAGCCAGGAGCGGTGCGGCGCATCGTTTTCGTGGGCACTCGGGGGGCCGAGCAGCGGTTCTCCGTGTGCCGCGTTGGAGCGGGGCCCGAAGCGATTCCGGACTTCGTGCGGTGCTCGGGCGCCATTCTTCTCGTGCCGATGCCGCCACCCGCCCAGGATTCGTTTCGAGTCCTCCGATCCGCTTTCACTCGATTTCGATCATCTCCGATTCCGATTCGATTCGCTTTCGGATTCCGATCTCGGCTCCGACGTCTTAGTGGAGGCCTGCTAGGCTGCCGATTGCCGCCGGTTCGACTCTTCCCGACTCGGCTGCCGATCTCCGCCCATGCGGTTCATCTCGATCGCCCCGATCCGACTTGTCGATTCGATTCTGGGCTTTCCTGTCCGCCCCGCGTCGCAGAAAGCAGTGATTCCACTACAACCAGTGGCCATTGTTACGTGCGTCCTCCCTTCACCTGGCGGGGTGCGCACGGTTCCCCGCTCGATCCGCAAGGGGTGGCAGGTCCGGGGAGGGCGGCTTCGTTCTTGCACGAGCTTGAAGTCATGTGAGAAGTTAGCGCAGCAAGAAATATCCTGCTTGCCTCCAGGGTGCCCTTGGTTTTTGGGGGTTCGATGGTTTTGCGATGGACAGCGGAACATTCCCACGCCCAAAATCAGTGGACGTCCTGGGGTTGTGGTCGGGCCTCCACTAGTCCAGCTTGACATGGTGATGGCATCATGGAACGCAGACTTCCTGAGGAAGGTGGCTGTTGAGATCCAGTGGCCTTTCCAAGTTTTGCGTGGTTCCTCCTGGAAAAAGCATTACGGTGAGGGCAATGGAGAAGGAACACATTAGATACGGAATCCATGGTCTGGAAGCCAGAAGAGCACCGTTAGAGGCTTGTTCATGTATACCAACGCCGCCCTCATCAGATACGAAAAATCTTCCAGGGTCTGTAGCCTCCTGGGCACATTCCCTAACGAACGCCCCTATCGTAGCTGCCCGGGTCGCTTCGGGCAAGGCCTCCCCCCGAAAGTCGACGACTGTTGGCCGCCCGGGACATGCCCCAGCGCGCGCGGCGTCTCGGATACCGGCGAGTCGGAGCCCATGAGTGTTCGCCACACAGTCACGACACGAGTTTCACGGCGCCGGTCCCCCCTCAGCCAAAAAGGTATACCAGAAGCTTGCGGCGAACCCCGCCACCGTGCCTGTGCAACAGCGCAGCAGGAAGGAGGTTGAGTGCAGGAACGGCGCACTTCCGAAAAGAAGTCTGGCAAGGACGGGTCGTCAACTCGACCTCAGGAGGAGGAGGAGGAGGAGGAGGAGGAGGAGGAGGAGGAGGAGGAGGAGGAGGAGGAGGAGGAAAGGGAGCAACTGAGGACGACGAGCAGAAGGCTTCTTGGGGCCCCTTTGGGGCCTCCTGGAGGCCTCCTGGGAGCCTTCTGGGGGGGCCTCCTGGGGGCCTCCCGGGGGCCTCTTGGGGCCTCTTGCGCCGTCTTGGGGAGGCTCTTCCCGTCTGACGCCGTCGGAGGCCGTCTGGGGGGCCTCTTTGGGCCACCTTGGCGCTTTCTTGGGGCGCTCTATAGGGCCGTCTTGGGGCCCTCTTGGGAGCCTCTTGGGCGATCTCGGGGTTCTCTTGGGCCGACTCGGGGCCCTCTTGGGGGCCTCTCATGGGCTGTCTTCGAGCTATCTCGGAGTCCCCTTGGGTCGCCTTGGGCGGTCGGCAGACAGGCGAGAACCTCGGACTCCTTCAAAAACTGAACGGACATCCACGGTTTGGGCCTCCGCCGGGTCTCCTAGAGATCCTCTCGGAGCTCTCTTGGTCTGTCTTGGGCGCCCCTTGGGCCGTCTTGAGGCTGTTTTGAGGGCCTCCTGAGCTGTCTTGTGGCATCTCGGCAATTGGGCAGTTTTGGTGACCTGTTGGTTGTCGTTGAAGCCCTCTTAGAGGCGACCTTGGCCGTCTGGAGGCTGAACAGAGCGCCAAAGAGCAATTTCAGAGGCGACGATCGCAGAGGGGTGCGTGGAACGAGGGGGGGGGGGTCGGCTTCAGAAAACTTGACAAAAACCTCCCAGACAACAGACGAGCATTCGAACACGCCCGCTCCGTGCAGGCATGGTGTCGGATGTGACCAAACAACATCGGTGACCGAAACCGTGCCCGAAATTGACCGAAACGTCGGCTGCAAGTGCGGCAGCAATTTACAATCGTATTGATTTCGAACCAAACAATTTGGTCACACTCGAGCGCGTTCGGACAAATTCGGGCGCCCGTTCTGGTCAGGCTCGGGCAGATTTTCGGACGCAGCTTTAGTCACTACACTACCCTCATAGAAAAGAGGCTACGTGGCATGTTGGTGAGGGAATCTAAGCTCTTCCTTCGCTCCCCCCTTGGCCACGCAGCTCTCACAGCAGATTGGTCCGTAACGCCCTGGCTCTGATCGGACATGCCCGAAATCTGTCGACCACGCCGGCTAGGTGGGACAGGAGTTACAGTGAGTCTTCGGCACAGGCCAGTTCTGGGATCGTGTGATGTTCTGAGACGGATGTCGTTCCTTCGGGCGTTCGCTGCTCATCAGGAAGGCCCAGGATGAGGGCAAATCTCTCCAGAGCGTTCCAGAACTGCGCCAGGGGCGCGCTGGAGCGCCCTGGGGGCGGCCGCGGCGCCCGATACACCCTCGGGACCCCCGCTGGGTCTCACGGGCTCCCGATGTATCCGCACACGGGTGTGTCTTCCTGGCATCGCTCGGACGTGTGCATTTTTCCTTCGGCGAGGACCATCGAGGAGCATCCTTGATCATCTGGCGAAACAACCACGCACGAATCCGAAAAAAACACAGGGAATGGACGTCCGAGCGATGGCCAGGTCTTCATCCTGCTCAGGATGCAACTCTTGGGAGGTTGGATCCAGCATCGGCGCACGTATATCCGAGGTCGAAGACCCGCCCAATCCGGCAGAGTCCCCCCGAAACCGGCTCAGTCACTTATAGTCGCGTCGAACCAGGCTTAGTCCCCCGCCGAATTCCGCCAGATCTCGATTGGACCCGCCCGATGCTGGTGTTCGCGCGCATACTTTGGCGATCGCAGCGCACCCCCACCCCGACGTGGCCCACTCCGCCCAAGCGCTACCGCTACTGGACCCCCCCCCAGGGTAGCGACCATTACGGGAAATTATGTTAAAGAAGAATATCACATATAGCTCTTGCTCCCCTCCTCCTCCTCCTCCTCCTCCTCCTCCTCCTCCTCCTCCTCCTCCTCCTCCTCCTCCTCCTCCTCTTCCCCCTCCTCCTCCCAGCTGGCGCACTTCGCGGACCGCCTCGGCTTGGACCAGGGCTGCCGGTCCTTCCTGCAGGGGCTGCGGGAGGACGCTCGGTGGCCTCCTTTTGGGGTCGCCTTGCAAGAAGCGACCCCTCCCTCTCCCCCTCCTCCCCCTCCCCCTCCCCATCCCCCTCCTTTTCCCCCTCCCCCTACCCCTCCTCCTCCTCCTCCTCCTCCTCCTCCTTCTCCTCCTCGTCCTCGTCCTCTTCCTCCTCCCCCTCCTCCTCCTCGTCCCCCTCCTCCTTTTCCTCCTCCTCCTGAGGGGGGGGGGGGGGGGCGAATTCGAGGGACGAGGCACGATGACTATGACGATCCGACGCAGTCCGATGCCTGGGGATCCCGGCGCCGCCAATTCGATTCGTTCCGGGGCTCCGTGCCAGTTCGATTCGCTCCCTCGACGCCCGTGCCGATCCGCCTGAGCTTGGCGATTTGATGTTGACGTCCCATAGATTTGAGGCGCTCCACGCGGATTTCTTGGATCCGCGCTGGGGCCCCCCGGCGGCGCCTCCGGCGCCGCCCATGGCACGCGGAGCGCGCTCCGCGCAGATCCAAGAAATCCAGGCGGAGCACCAACAATTCATGTTTATGCAGTTATTTTCTTCTTCTGGAGAGGTGAGTAAGGACTGGGAAGTCTTCCAGATGCCATTGCCCCCTCTTCCTCTTTCGGCACGTCCTCTGGCCCCCTTCTCGTCCGCGCAGCGCTGCCGACACTCGAGAGAAGAAGCGCGAGGACCATGAACAAGATGTCGCCGCATCTTGCCGACGCCGATCTTGGTCATTGTCCACGCGGGCCGTCGCCGACCCGTGAGAAAGATTAACGAATTGACGATGATTAAAGATGGACGATGACCAGAATCGGCATCGACGTTTCCGCGTTCAGGTTTAGTCATGGTCTTCGTTTTTCCTCTCCACGAGTGGCAGCATCAGGAGTTGTGGCAGTGGTTGTGTCGAAGCAGGAAGATTTCCGCGACTTTAACATGAACATATATTGTTTTTTCAAGGGCCGCGTGGATTACTTGGATCGGCACTGGACCCATCCCCTCCCTGGCGCGTGAAGTGCCGATCCTGTTAGTCCGCGCAGGCCTCTAAACGTTTAGGCTGATGCTTGCTCGTCTGCTCTGCTGTGATGATAGTCGTAGCAGCAGTAATCCCATGCTCCGGATAATAAATTAAACCAGAGAGCCCCAATCAGTGGATGGTTTGAAAGTTTGGAACCCAGAACCGGGAACCCGGGAACCCAGCCGGCAACCCAAATTGGCGGAACATTGTCGCGATATCTTTCAAAATTTGCAGGACCCCTTCAGTGCAAGCACTGATTGGGGCATTTCTGCTAGGACCCTTTGAGTGCAAGAACTGATTGGGGAATCATCCCCCCTTTCGAGATCCGAGCATTTTCTTTGGATTGAGGGCAAAGAGTGACATCTGAAATGCCGTTTCGATGGATGTTCGAGGCTTGAATTTGCAAAAGGTTAATCACGAGACGGATTGATTTGCGACGTGCAAAAGCCCATATGGATTTCACCCCGAGCCCTCCACCCTGAGAAAATGCTCAGAAGATTAAGTGATGATTACGTCTGGCGAAGACAGAGTTGGTCGGGGGAGAGGGGCGGCAAGGCCGAACTCCAGAGTCCAAGGGCGGTCGGGCCGGGGCCCCCCTCTTCGTACGTTTGCTCGGCGCCTCACTGGACACGAGGGGCACTTCGGCGGCCCTGTGCGTGCACGGGGGGTGGCAGTGCGTCGTCTTTGCCGCAGCGGCTCCTCTCCAGGCGGTGGCTGTGGAGTAGCACTGCGATCCTCGTGTCGTTGTTCCTCTTGGTCCCGTGGTCTCCTCCGTGCGCTGCTGTTGCCTCCGCGCCTGCGCGCACGTGTGCATCCATTGCCGTTTGGGGCCCTCGAGTCTGTGGCACGCTGCGTACAGGAACATGGCAGCATATTGTTTTCACATTTGGGGCGGCAAGGCACTAACATTATGATGTTCCAACCTACTTTAGCCTTGATCACCAAAAGGAGTTGCGTGCACCCAAGAAAATACCGAATCTGAGGAGTTTTCACATGTCGGGCCCTGGGAGGCGATACTCGTCCAACACTGGTTCTGTGCTGTAGTCCCTAACTACGATCGGTGGGTGCTCGAAATTATTGTCTGGGTGCTCGAAATTATTTCTGTGATGTAGTCCCTAAGTACGATGGGAACAACATAACACTCACATACGAACCACACATCACCGATGGCCCATCCGCAAGCAGCAGAGGTACATGAGGTGGGTAGAGAAGGGGGAGAGGCTGGCGGCCCGGCGGAGCGGGGAGAGGCCCGAGGAGGGCGGGGAGGGACGAAGGACATGCCAGTAGGCGGGGCCAAGAGTCAGACAACTGCTCCCCTGGCAGGAAGAGCTCAAGCAGCAGCAGCTTATTCTAGATTTCGTAATAAAAGGGAGGGGGTCACAACCCTCCCAAACGAGAAATTTTGACCCCCCCAGACTATCCATCAAAGGGCGGCCCTTTGCCCAGACCCCCCCGAACCCTCCAAGACAGCTCAAATTAGACCCCCCCCCGAATGTGACCCCCCCACTTTGCTATGGAATCCGGAGTAAGCGCTGACGGCACGAGGTCGAAGAGGCCTCCGAGGCCTCGACAAGTCACAGTACAGCATCTGAGATGGTCGAGGGCGAGGGCGGGAGCACAGCACATCCGCAATTCAAAGCGCCTTACCCACGCAATCTCCAGGCTGCCTCGACTAAGGTGCGTGCTCTAAGAACAAGAGAAACAGACACATCACGTAATCGCTTCGATCACTCTCTGACCCTCTAGTTCACGATGGCCAGGGGGCGCAGGCCAGAAACGGACATCCTCTTCTCACAATCCCCGATGCCCCTTACAATCGTACGCTCAAAGGCTTTACCCCAAGCAAAAATGAAGGGGCGACGCTGTAAACCGTTAAATATATTATTTGTTTTGAAGCAAAGCCACAACATATTGTGCCTGTTTGGGCACTGGCCTGAATTCACCTTGGTACTAGTTGAGCGGTTCGTTTAAAGGATCTGCACGCGACTCGAGCAAGGTAATGACCGCGGCCGTCAGCAGGAATGTGTCTGGATACCACAAGCCGTGACCAGTCTTGCCTCTGACCCACAGCTCTGCACTTCACACCACGTCCAGAAGGAAGAGGAGGAGTAGCTGTAGCTGGGAGGAGGAGGAGGAGGAGGAGGAGGAATCAGTTCTTCGTCGACTAGAGGTAAAAGCGACCTTTCGCCAGAGCGACCTCTGCTGCGGGCCCAATGGGGTCCCCCGATCGCCGAACGCGATGCGGCAGTAGCGTCTCGCGCGCCGTAGTTAGGTTCCTCCGCGGCCCCCAACAAGCCGCGCACCAACGGTCACTCATTGCCCAGGGTCACTCTTGCGTGTAGTCGAGAGGAGGACTCAACTCTGCGCTCTCTTCTACCGTCGCCGCGAGTAGTGGGGGTCGAATCTCGGTCTCGTCACTGCAGTGGCTGCCCGCGCCCGAAACCAACAAGCGACACCACCCCACCCACGGCCCTCCGTTTTGCGCAGCGGCCCATCGGGGGCCCCAGCGCACACCACGCAAGCGCCCACGCCAGACTTGCCTGGTATACGCGAAGCCCCGTGGGGGTGGGGCCGTCAGCAGTGGAACGAAGGACGACATGAACAGAGCAACTCGGAGGTCCGCGTGGATTTCTCGGCTCGGGGTTGGACCCCCCTTCATGACGCGCGGAGCGTGCCCGAGGCGGCGCCGGAGGCGCCGCGGGGGGGCCCCAGTGCCGATCCGAGGGTTCCGCGCGGACCTCCGAGCTCTTAGGTGTATGCCACTCTTTGGTTCCCCCGGCGAGCGGGGTGGCGTCGTTGGTTTGCTGGTCCGCTCGTGCTCTGCGCCGTGGTGCCCTCCACCTCGGCGTGCTCTCCTCGTGTCTGTCGGTCTCTCCTCGGGCCCCGCGCCCTCAGCGAGGCGGGGCTCTCGTGCTCTTGGGCCGCGCGCTCCCGCGGTCGTGTGTTTTGTCGCCTGTGCCGGCGGCGCCGTTCTCTGCCCCGCGGCTGCGTGGCTCAGAGGTGGGGTCCGGAGGGGTGGGGGTCCCGAGGACGAGGAGCCCCACACAGTGCAACTCCACCTCTTGGATCCCTTCCAATGCGTAGGCCCCCATCCCTCAGGACCCCGTCTTTGCACCCCCGAGCCGCTGCTCGTCGGCGCTTCGGGGAGGCCCTCGCCGCCACGGCCGGATGCGCTGCGAAATTCTAGCCAGAACGCTCCCTGGGGGAGGTCCTGGGAACTTCAACCTCGGGAGAGAAAAACAGACACAGGCACACATGCGCGTTGATTTCCAGGAAGGCAGGGGAACGTATGGGAGGCGGAGGGGACAACGAAGCTCGGGAACGTACCAAGAAATGAGAGGAAGCCTGGAAGCTGTGCCCATTTCTGTGTGTCTCCCTGGGCTCCCTTAGAGCAGCGGCGTCGGTACCTCTTGTTTTCCCCACTTGCCCGCTTTCCCCACTCTCCCCCCCCCAATCAGTAAAAACAAGCAGAACAGTTGCTCGGCGGCGCACCGAAGGCGGACGTGAGAGGGGGCAGGCGTTCGCAGAAGGCGGCACGGCTCCTCATAGAAGCCCCCTCGGAGCTCCTGAGAAGCCCCCATGCGGCCCCACCGAGGGCTCCGAGCGCTTCTCGGAGGGCCGGGGGCCTTCTGGGCCTCTTGAGGAGGCCCCATCCCCCCTCTGCCCTCTCCTCCCTGGTCGCGCCGCCGGGGCCTCCCCCCGGTCCCCCACGTGCGCGTGCTCGCGCGCACGCTATTGCTCGTGGCGATCGCAGCGCACCCCCGCCCCGACGCGCTCCACCCCGCGTTGCCGCTGCCCGCCCCCCCCCCCTCTCGGCAGCGGCCGTCACCAGAGTGAATGTCAAGAGCACAGCCCTTTGCACCGCTCGGGCGTGTGCATGTGTTCCCCGGCGGGGGCCATCGAGGAGCACTGTGGGTTCTCCTGCGGAACAAGGTGCATGCACGACGCCGAGACGTGCACGGGGAAGGGGCGAGCGATGGCGAGAGAGCCTCGCCGCGAGTTTTCTCGGAGCGGCTCAAAGCCCGACGGCCGATCGGCCCAGATCGGCCACGCGCGCAGGGGGGGCTAGCGGGGAGGGGGGAGGGCTTCTTCGAAGCACCCTTGCTCCTCAGGAGGCGCGGGCCTTGTCTGCAGATGTGGGGCTGGCGCCTTCTAAGAAGCAGCATCTCGGGGGTCAAGAGACGGGGTCAATGCAAGCGGGGGTCACCCAGAACGCCGGATCTTGCAGGCTCCTGCAGAGCCAGGGGTGCACCGACTCGGGCTTGGGTGCCGGATCCTGCAGGACCATGCAGCACCTTGCAGGATCTTGTCAAGCCTGACTGGCCCGGGACTGGCCCAGGTCTGAATTGACCTGGGTCAGTAGATCCCCGAAGGCTCCTTCTAAGAAGCCTGTCCCCCCCCTCCCCCCCGCCCCCTTCTGCGCGCGGCCAACCAGTTTTCCTTGCGGCGGCGCGCTGGCACTCCGCAGCCAGGCCGCGGGGGCGCCATGCTCGCCGGCGCCGCGCTGCTACCCACCAGCGGCGCGGACCGGAGCGCCCAGGAGCGATATGTGATGGGCCGGTCTTCCACCCGCCACCGTAAGTTGGAGGAGGGAGGGAGGGGGAGGACGATTAGGACGAAGAGGAGGAGGAGGAGGAGGAGGAGGAGGAGGAGGAGGAGGAGGGAGATGGAGGAGGTGGAGGAGGAGGAGGAGGGAGGAGGAGGAGGAGATGGAGGAGGAGGAGGAGGAGGAGGAGGAGAGGAGGAGGAGGAGGAGGAGGAGGAGGAGGAGGAGGAGGAGGAGGAGGAGGAGGAGAGGAGGAGGAGGAGGAGGAGAGAAGGAGGAGGAGGAAGAGGCGGAGGAGGAGGAGGAGGAGGAGGAGGCGGAGGAGGAGGAGGAGGACAAGGGGGGGAAGACGGCAGCAGCGGCTGCGCCTCCCGTCCTGGCCTGCGCGCTGCAGGTCTCCGAGGGAGGAGGAGGAGGAGGAGGAGGAGGAGGAGGAGGAGGAGGAGGAGGAGGAGGGAGGGGCAGGCTCCTGGGGGCCGCGGGAGGCTCCCCCGTGGAGGCTCTGCTGCAGCTGCTTCTGCCTGTCCCCATGTTGAGGGGCCTGCTTTCCACCACCACCACCACCAGAAGTTGGAGGGTTCGCTCCCCTGGGCGACACCTCCGGCGCAACCGGACTGATGGGGATGAGCCGCTCCTGGTCGTGGGACTCGGCGGGTTGAATCTCGACCCTGCCAGGGACATGCATGTGGACGCGGGGATTCCTTTGGAGGAACAGCGCCGGGCCGAGGCTCTCAACCGCCCCCCGGCCAGCGCTCCTGGGGAGGGCGCCCCGCCGCCCGGGGCTCCACAGGCAGCGCCGCCAGCCGGCAAGAGATACCTGCCCCCCCTCCCCCGGCGCCCGATCCTGCCCACCAGCGCAGGGTTCGTGCCCGCGTCCGGGTGCACTGCCCCGTCCCTGGGTGCCCGCGCGGCGACGCCGCGTCCTCCGCCGGCTGGGGGGACCACCAAAGCATGCGCCCGCACCTGAACGAGCACGCCGCCGGGCGGTTCCCTGGGCTGCCACCAGTCCCGCCCGAGTACCTGCAAGAGCACCGGTTGGAACAATGCTCGGTCTGCCAACGGTTCTTGTCGACGCGCTTCGGCGGCATCTGCCCGCGTTGCCGCCCTGCCGCGCGCGCGGCCGCAGCCGTGGCAGCCGCCGCTCCCGCCGCTGGCGGCCAACCGCACAGCGAGCCCGCGGGTCTCCCCTCCCTCCGGGAAGCTTTCTCCAAGCGCTCCACCACCAAGCGCTACGTCCCGAAGGGCGCCCGGGACCTGGGCACGGTGCTTAGTGCAGACAGTGGCCCAGACCGTGCACAACAACTCCGCGGCTGCGTGGACAGAGCTTGCGATGCTCCCGAAATGCGTCCTGCGCCCTCACACCCGTGGCGGCCGAGGCAGCAGGGCGGCCGGCGAAGCGCAGACCAAGGCGCTGTGCCGGCGCTGGCTGGACGGGGAGCGGGCCTCCCTGTGGGCCGAGGCAGTCGAGGCTCGCGCTGCCAAGCACGCCTCGCAAGCCTCCCAGCGAGCGGAGAGGTGCGTGCAGCTCGCCGCAGACGCCCAGTACTCCAAGAGCTGCTCGGCTCTGACCAGCGAGCCGCCCGTGGAGGTCACCCCCGACGTCGTCGAACAGACGGGCCGGAAGCACCCGCGCAGCCGCCAAGCTGTGGATCCCGCCAGCCTTCCGGCTGTCCACGCGCTGTGGATCCCGCCAGCCTTCCGGCTGTCCACGCGGCTGCTGCCCTGCAGATGGACGGGGGCGCGGTCCGTAGGGATGTGCGGGCCTTCCCCCGGGGCTCGGCCGCCGGGCCAACGGGCTTCCGACCCCAACACCTCAAAGACGCACTGCTCAACGCGGCCCACAGGGACGAGGTCACCGACCAGCTCCGGAACCTTGTCAACCTATGCGCCAGGGGGCAGGCCCCGCCGACCGTTTCCGAGTACTTCGCGGGCGCCTCTCTCGTGGCCCTGCCGAAGAAGGACGGAGGCCTGCGCCCTGTTGCCGTCGGGGAGGTGATCCGGCGCCTCGTCGGCAAGTGCCTCTGCCACGAGGTTGCCGACGCCGCGCGCGACCGACTGGCTCCCCTCCAGATTGGCGTCGCGGTCCCTGGCGGCGCCGAGGCGGCGGTGCACGTCGCGCGCCAGTGGTGGACCCGCCACCTCGGGGACCGGGGAAAGGTGTTTGTGAAGCTGGACTAACGCCTTCAACACCCTGGACAGGCAGGCTCTGCTCCGCGCGGTCCACGAAGAGTTTCCCGGGCTGGCACCCTGGGCCGACTGGTGCTGCTCCCGCCCGTCAACTCTCTTCCTGGGCAAACAGACAGTCCGCTCTGAGTGCGGGGTGCAGCAGGGCGACCCCCTGGGGCCCCTAGTGTTCTCCCTAGCACTACAGCGCGCCGCCGAGGCCGCCCTTCGCGCGCCGCGCCACGGCGCCGACGGCGCCGTCGACCTGAGTTTCTTCTACTTGGACGACGGCTGCCTCGCGGGCGACGCGCCGGCCGTCGCGCGCCTCCTCCACTTGCTCGTGGCCAGCCTTGCCGCGGTGGGCCTCCAGCTGAGCACGGGCCCGGGCAAGTGCGAGGTGGTCCCCACTGGCGGAGACGCCTCCGACGTGTCTCTGGACGGCTTCCCGCCGGGCTTCCGCCTCCGCACCGATCGCAGCTTCGAGCTGCTCGGCGCGCCAGTGGGAGACGCGGACGTCCCAGACCCCCTCGAGTCATGAAAAAATCACGACGGAAGGTTTTTCCATATTTTCCGCCTCTGGGGGCCCTTACCGGCCCTCGGGACCGTCAAAAAACGACTCAGGATGAAAAACCGGTCCCGGCGAATAGGTCCGGACCTCTGGGGGTCGCGTCATGAAAAATCATGACGTCGGGGGTCTGGGTTCTGCGCGGAGCACGCCAAGCAGCGGGTCGCGAGCGCCGCCGACTTGCTGGAAGCTCTGGGGGAGCTCGAAAACGCGCAGGTCGCGCTGCACCTCCTGCGCCAGTGCGCCTCCTTCTGCAAGCTGGGCTACTCCGCGCGCGTGGCGCCGCCCACCGCGCACGCCGCTTCCCTGCTGGCCATGGGCGACGCTGTCCGGGCCTGCATTGAGCAACTGAGCGGCTGCTCGCCCTCCGACGATTCTTGGCAGCAGGCTCAGCTAAAGCTCAGGAAGGGAGGACTTGGCCTGCGCTCTGCCGCGAAGCACGCCGCCGCCGCCTACGTCGCTTCCAGAGCGAAGAGCACCGACCTCTGTCGGCAGCTCTACCCGGGCTACTCAAACAACCCCGACCGCGACGGAGGTAGCCTGGCGGCTGCGGTGCAGGCCCACAACGCAGTCGTGCGGGACGCCGACCGGGTGGTGTTCGACCACGCGCAGCACGGCAACCAGAAGGCGCCTCGCTCGACGGACTTCTGGCGGGCTCCACCCTGGCCGGCAAGGCGCACCTCTCTCTGGTGCAAGCCCCAGGCGCGGCCGCGTGGCTCCAGGCGCCGCCCTGCGAGGCCACCGGCACCGCCTTCCCGCGCGGCCTCATGCAGGTCGGCCTGCAGAGGCGGCTGCGAGTCCAGCTCCTGCAGGAGGAGTGCTTCTGCCCAGCCTGTGGCGAGGCGATGGGCGTTTTCTGCGACCACGCCCTGGTCTGCGCCTGCCGCGGCGACCGGGCCAAACGCCACAACGCCCTGCGCAACCAGGCCTTCTTCGACGCCCTGGCCGCCGGCCACGCCGGGGCGGAGTTGGAGCGCCCGGGGCTGCTACCCGCGCGCCCCGCCGGGGAGGCCACCCCCGGGGGCGAGCAGGGCGGGTCCCAGGTGGACGACAACGGCCGCCGCCCTGCCGACGTCTACCTGCCGCGGTGGCGCAACGGCACGGCGGCCGCCTGGGACTTTGCCGCCGCGTCAGGGTTGCGCGCCGATCTCCTCGCCGCGTCGGCCGCTTCGTCAAGCGCAGCGACGGAGCGGTACGAGGAGTTCAAAAGGCAGCACCAGGACACCGCGCGGCTCTGCGCGGCACAGGGCTTCACTTTCCTCCCCATGGTGGTGGAAGCCCACGGCGGCGGGTGGGGCCGCGAGGCACGCAGGGCCTTCGGGGCCCTGGCCAAGCGGGTGGCTGACGCCACGGGGGAAGACGCCGCACTGGTTGCGGACCAACATGCCCAGCGACTTTCCGTCTCCCTGCACAGGGAGAACGCGCGGGCGGTGTTGCGGCGCCTTCAGACCCTGTCTGGAGGGGCGGGGGTGGCAGCGGCCCGCCTGGCCGCGGCCACGGCGGCCTCCACGGCAGACGCCGTGTGAGGTGCCCCCTGCGCTGCCTAGCGCCCCCCGCCCCCCCCCCCCGCCCTTGCTGGGCAGCGCGGGCGCCCCCCTCGCCCTTTCGCCAACGTCGCGCCGGCGACCCCTCCCACGCGCCGCCCGGCCTTTCCCCGGCGGGGCGGTGGATGGATCCCGCAGAGGGCAATCCCCACCAAGCCGCATCGCGCTGGGTTCGGGCGGCCACCCCGCCCAGGTCGCCGCCGTAGGGTCCGCAGCCTCGTCGCGGGCGGCTCTTCTCTCCCGGCCCCTGGCCCGGCCTGTCTGCTTGCGGCCGCTGCTTTCTCTCCTCCTTGTCCTCCTCCCCCTCCTCCCCCTCCCTTCGCTTCTGCTCGTTGCTTCCCTCCCTTTCCTTTCCTCCTGCTCCCTGCCTGCTGTCTCCGCCTGGCCCGTCTTCTGCCTGCCTGCCCGCCCCGCCGGCCCTGGCCTCCCGCCTGGGCGTTCGTCGTCGTCTGCCTGCTTCTCCCCTCCTCGTCCCCTTCCGCCGGACAGCACAGCCTGCCCGGAACCAGCGTGGCGGCATTTTCCTTACCCATTCCTGCTGTCCACAGATTGGAAATCAGCGGCGGGTCAAAGCGGGAGTTGAGCGGGCGGCAGGGCCCCAACGGGCAGCCGCGAGCCCGCAGCAGACGAGCGTGGCGAGCCGCGGCCCGGCGTTCTGTCGGGCGTCTCTCCCGCACCTTCTGCGCCCCGCGCGCTGCCCTCGAGGCGCCCACCATCCCCTC